ACTATCAAAAAAGGTGAAATTCTCCTTACCAACTCGAAACTCGATTATGAGTCTCACGTGGCCATATCGGAGCAAAAGCGACAGCGGGTGAGCCAAAAACACAGGTAAAGTCTGATAGAGCCGTCGCGGTCGAAACTCTAAAAACTTCCAACGAGCCCCTTTCTCGTTTCTGTTTCATGCAATTTTCTGACCATTGTGTTCATCGTCATTTTTTGTCTAAGTTAGCCGAAGAAGAAGTCCTAGTCGCGAAGAAGAACCGATGGAGTCGCCGCACTAGGAGACCCCTCTGCCAGTAGGTTCGATTTTTTGTGATTTTCTGGCCAATCGAAGTCCCCTAACATGTTTTTCACAGTGATACGTGTAAAATCGGTCAAAATCGGCTAAAATCAGCCAGATCGAGGTGAACCACCGTTGTGGGCGGCAGAGCCGGCGCTGCACCGCAGTGCTAGAACCCTAAAACTGGCCATAAAAGATTTTCAACATCGATTTTAGATTTTTGAGGTATTTTTAGGAACATGACGAGTATTTTGAATTCCTGCAAGAAAAATTTAAAAAACTCAAGATCTGTTAAGAGACGTAATAGATAGCATGACATTTCAAAAAACCGATCCGGATAAGGATCCATTGCTCTTTTCTCATTTACGGTAAATTGAGGATTAATAATTGATAATAATGTGTTTTGTAAAAATTAGAAAAATCCTAAAAATATTACATATCACTAGTGGAGAGGGAACCGATTAGTTCACATATTCTGATTCACTGTTTATTTTCTTGTATTGCATATTTGCTTACTATTATACTGTGCATAACTGAATTGATAGTTTTTATGATCTCTTAGATTATTTGGTTATTTCATTCCTCCTGCATTGTTTATTTGGTATTCTGATTATTTGATTATTTGGCTATACTAAACTGTATCGCTTGTTCGGTATGAGAGTGCTCATTATCAAACGGGATATGGGAATGATCGAGTTAATTGTCAAATCTTGATACTGGGTTCACAAGTAAAGAGATATCCCTATGGACCTTTAGGGGTCCTAGTCAGTAGGGTAAAAAGGAAAGATTGCTGATCCTATGCATGAAATTAAAATGTAATTTGGTTAATTATCTTCATAGGTTAATTTTGAAAAAAAATTGTACAATAAGTATCGAATAAAAAGTTTTAAAGTCAAATGTATTTACTTGTAGTAAGGGCTCCATTTATTGTATCTAATTTTTACCAACCTTCGATTTTCCGTATCATTAATTAGTGTGATATTCTTACTGCGCTAGTGTAGTTCACCCTTTCATTAACCATTTCAGATCAAGAAGATCAAGATTCAAATCCCGATCAGTAAGAAAGTTGTGAGTAATTCACCTCTCATACTTTTTAAGTGATAGTGAAGGCTGTCCTATGATACTTATTTATTCGTTTTCTTTAATTATCGTTTGTCTTTTACGAATCACGTAGAATGAATATTTTTGTAACTCTGTTGGGCAATTCAATTTAATGTGTAAGGAATGTTAACCATAACATTATTGTTCACTTCAACATTTAAATTATAAATTCATTTCCTTTAACGTTTCGGGCCTCTACAAATTGATCTTTCAAAAATTCTCTCATCATTTACCTTTTAACAATTTGAAATTGAAACTTTTCATGAAGTGTTTATAAATAGAGCAAACATTATATTATGTTAATACACTTATTCATTATCAAAAAAATAATAATAATAACAATAATTTTTAAAACTATGACTAAAATCTGAAGATTGTATAAATAAAATTAAAGAGATTTAATCTCATATCTCCTTATCCAATGAAACAACAAAATAAGGAATTTGGTAAGGACTTAGATTAAAAAATGAAGGAATCCATCGCCTTTTTTTTTTTCCCCCCATAATATGTGAGCTAATAAAAAAGAAAGGTTTAAAGTAAAAGCGTTTTTCTCTAAGTTAGGATTTGGCCAAGCTAAAGAACAAGGTAAATAACATGATCCTAAACTTATCACATTAGTTTGATGTGTAAAGATTTCCATTAAATATTAAAACCTACTCTATCTTTGATAAGATCAAATTATATAATATATATATATATATAGTTAAATACGAATTCATTAAATTTTAGAGTTAACTGAATAATCAAAACTTAAAAATTTTAAATTTATATGATAAACGACAGAAAAATATTAAATACAAAAGATTATGAAAATAGATATCTAAAACATTCATTGTTTGTAATAATTTTGGAGATGAAAATTTCCTTTTTTTGGGTTTAAATAATTAGTGAATAGTAGGAAGAAAATATTTTATGAGAAAAAAAAAAAAACTCATCAAAAGTGGATTTTGGTTCAGTGGGAAGGGGTATTTTAGTAATTTGAGAGCGTGACTATTAAAGCCGCTCGTGAGCTCCAGCTGTAGGCAGCATGACACAAGGTGACTTCACCCAAACGAAACCAGGCCGCAAAACTCTTAAATTACAAATTTAACCCCCGGTTCCTGCAACTACAACGAAAATGACATTTCTACAATATCAATTTAATTTATAAATCAATTTTTAATACAATATTATATGTAATTATTTATAAATCAGTTTTTACTTACAAGCTAACTATTTTCTTATAGTTGGGGAAAAGCCCCTTGGGAACGGCATCTGAGGTTATTCCCATGGAGAAAGGCGGAAGAGAACAAAGGCTTTATTTTTTTCTTTTTCCAAAAAAAAACAAAAAAAAAAAATGCCCTTTTGCATAGACCCATTATAATATATATATATTATACATAGACTGTGTGTATATGTGTGTGCGTAAGTAAAGTGGTAAAAAAGTGTGGAAGGAAAAGGAGGTTGAGTGTGGTTTACGCCAAAATGGTCGTCGTCCACATGTACCCATTACTATAAAGAAGGCAGACTTTCTCCTCTGGAACAACCCACCCAAATCCCAATTCTCCATGTTGGAATTCAGTTTCATGGAAGGTCTGTATTGAGATGGAGAAGCTTAATTTTGTTAAGAATGGAGTGGTGAGACTCCCTCCTGGTTTCCGCTTCCATCCAACTGACCAAGAGCTTCTTCTTGACTACTTGAAGCGCAAGGTGTTTTCCTGCCCTTTACCTGCCTCCATCATTCCTGAGCTTGATGTTTGCAAGGCTGATCCCTGGGATTTACCAGGTTCTTTAACTTTTCTATTTTTTGAATTTTTGAATTTTTGAAATTTTGAATTTCAAAATTGAAAATTGGTTTAATCAATCAGGTGATTGGGAAGAAGAGAGGTACTTCTTCAGCAGACGAGAGGCCAAATACCCAAATGGGAAGAGATCGAACAGAGCAACGGGGTCTGGTTATTGGAAGGCAACGGGAATTGACAAACAGATTGTGAGTGCTTCGGGAAAGCACGTTGTGGGATTGAAGAAAACCCTAGTTTTTTACAGAGGGAAACCCCCTCATGGCTCCAGAACTGATTGGATCATGCACGAGTATCGCCTTCATTCCTCTGTTTCCAACCAGGTAGGGAAAAACCCTAAATTAAAATCAAACAAATCATAATCAACTTGAATTAAAATTTTCTCTTTTGGGGAGTTTGCAGATGAGAAAGGAGAAGTGGGTGGTTTGCCGCATATTTTTGAAGAAGCGAGGTACCAAAAATCAAAATCCTGTTTTCTATGATTTCTTGAGGAGTGATTCTTCGTCTTCCTCAGGCTCAAGTGGAATCACACAAGTCTCTTGTAATGAATCAGATGATCATGAAGAAAGTAGCAAAAGTAATTTTAATTCCTTCTAATTATTTATTAGTCTCTCTCACATTTCTCCCCAAACACACCCAGCTTTTTCTTTTTCTGGAAGTAATACATAATTATCAAATTAAATTTTAATTGTATTTAAAATCTATTAGTTATGTCCAAGGGGGGAATTTTCGTGATATTTGGTTAGATTATCCAAAGCATCTTATACCATATCCATACAACACAAATTTAACCATATGTTTTAATTTTTATATGTAGACTTGTAAAAGTGCCTGTGTATTACTAGTCTCTCCTTTTTCGAAAACAAGAAGAAATTATATATTTATAACGGGTAAGAGATTAGCAGCTAATGAGTTGTTAAGCAAAGAAATTAGCATCTCACTGCACGAACAGTAGACGTGGGGGTCATGCAAGAGACAGGACCCATTTGTAGTTGACTAACCCAACAAGAAATTAAATAAGAAACAAAGTTATTAAAAATGATAAATGGTGATGATTTGTTAGGACTAAATTACTTATTAGTAGAAAATAGTAAAACAAAACTTGCAAGTTATTCAGGCATTGTCTCATCACATAATTTGGTGATGTGGTTTTTAAAGAGTGGATGTCAGCCTCTCACAATAGACGACGGCACGCAATTTAGTATGTCTAATCCATTCCATCAGTAGCTAATATTTTAACATTTGATTTAAAACAATATACATACATATATGCCGACCAGACCAGAGTTACTTGTGGAAGTGGTTTAGAATCGGCTAAAAAGGCTGTTTGAGTTCTTCACGTCACCACCCTCTCTCTGACATACAAAAAAAAAAAAATGGGGAAAGGAAGGAGAAGGGTTAAAGATTGAATTGTGGTTTGCTGACTCGGGCTTCAAATTGTCAATCACGTGGGCAGCCCGTCATGGGAGACCACAACTTTTCTACTATCCTCACTTGATTATTATTATCAAGGTCAATCAGTTTGTCCGACACCGCCAGGTGCAATATTGTCATTTCAGAAAGTAAGGACCTCGCTGACAGGAAATCGACAATTTATTTAATCAAATAGTGTTGACTACTTCCACACAAACACAAACAAAAAAAAAAGAAAAGCTAACCACTTTCAGTCTTTCAATATCCCTACTTGCTTCCACAAATTTAATTTTAAAGATTGCTTAGTATCTCTGCAACAAAGACATCTCCAATAATAACTCTCTAACCTCCTTATATTTGTATTTTCTCAATCTACCCTACCAAATATTTATGCTTATGGGACCACTCCCCATCCTCGACAACCCACCAAAATTCCCTCCAACAATTTCACAAGTTTAATACACAAACTCTCATCTTCAACAACATGTAAGTACATTTCCAACTAAGGGGGGTCAATGCTTTTTCCAGAGCCAGCTAGTTATATATGAATAAAAAGCATAATTATGATAGGGTGGTGAAGATTTACCTTAGTTACAGGCAAAAGACACCACAAGGCAGCAGCAGCAGCTGCTCCTCCTCCGTCATGAAGAAGTTTCTTCATTGTCAAAACCTGTCTTCTAGCCAATTGGAAGGTAGCAGGAAACAGTTCTCTACATTGATTTTAATTGCTTTTGTGCCCACAACTCAATCCAATCCCCCTCCCTTTTCTTTCTCTTCCGAATAAATCTGGACCACTTCAACTTACAACAAGATTCAATGTTATCTTTCTCCATAGGGACCATCTGAAAGTGATTTCTCCTTCCAAGAAAAACCATAAGATTCCATCAATCTTAAAAGAGACCCTAACAGTGAAAATCTTCCAATATACATAAACTAAAACTCCCAGCCAGACATCAAAACCTTTGTTCAATCAAACGCATGAAAGCATTGAAGAAAAATAAATCAATCAATCAAATATCTGAAAACAAACTTTCCGTTATTGTGGAAGTTCATGGATTTACCCCCAACTCTCAGAACAAATAAGAACTAAAACTTATGTAGCCAGAATAACATAGTGCCTTATTCCCTGTTCTTTTTTAAAGAAAAATTATAATAATAACATATACATACATATAGGCACCAAGGGGTTTAACCCGTACAACTCTTTCCCAGAACAAATAAAAACTAAAACTTATGTAGCCAGAATAACATAGTGCTTCTTTCCCTGTTCTTTTTGAAAGAAAGATTATAATAATATATATATATATATATATAGGCACCGAGCAGTATATCCCGTATGACTCTTTCCCACTTAAATCTAGATTTCCCAAAAATAAGTACTTTCAACTTTTTTCTCTCTTTTTTTTTACCTTTATCCCTTACAGGAAGTTCTGGTAAGGCTAACATTAGAAATTAGCAACATGCTTGTTTGGAGACAATTCTGGATGCTTAATAAGAAATAGAAAGATACACAGATAAATAAACCCAAGTTTTAAGAATGGTTCAAGAATCACGTAATTGGAAGAAAAACTATTAGAAGAGTCTCATCCACAAGCTAAAATTCCTATCAAAAGAACTGAACTTAAAGAATACAATAATTACAGTTCATTTGATGACGTGAATTTACTATGGAGTTCAGAGGCCCAACCATGCCAAAAATGAGAGACACTAACAATCTTAATTATGAGCATCAATGCGATAGCCATTTATCACAGCCAACATAATTCTAATATAAGGTTGCAACAAAATTTGTCTTGGCAATATTTAGCCAGATTCATCAAAATACTCCTTTCAGGCTTGTCTAATATATCCTTACTAATTTTGTTGCGTAGCTTGGCTACTCGTACTTTCTCCATCACCAACTCCACCAGGCCCAGCTCTTGATGTTTTTGAAGGTGGTGGTTCCGCACATGCCCTTAGGACAGCCTCATTCTGCAGGAAAGAGCCCAAGTCCATAACTCGAAATATTTGCAATTTAGCAGATAATTTTAAGACAGTTGCAAATCAAAGACACAAACCCTGTAGAAGCCTACTGGCACATGAACATCCACACTCTACTATCCACACTCTACAAGTATTATGGCACAAGAACTAATGCAAACTCTAGCAATCACACAAACGAACACTAATGGTCAAGTAGAAATTGACCATGTAAATCTAATAGACATTAGCAATGAGGCAAAGCAACAGAAGCATCTTTCATTATTCACAGTGCTGCCAACTTTCATTTTGGACAAACTCTTTCCCTGTTCTTCCTGTGTTGTAGGCAGGGTAAGCATTGATATTGAAACATGGAAGGTGTAGGAAAATAAACAAAAACTGTTTTCAGAAGAAAAGCATAAAAAAGAATTTGACAGAGAATCATAGCTAATCTCATATTTCATGAAAAAAAAAATAGATGCATGTAAAGGCTATTGTTTCAGAATACAATCAGTAGAACCATAAGACTAAAGATATTATTATTCACATGGAAAATTGGAAAATAACACATCAAGAACAGAGTTAAGAGTTTGTACAAGGATAATGGTGCTGAAAGAAGCAGAAATTCATAAAAGGACCCCAAATTACACGAGAAAAATTGTATCATAAAAATTATAGCTGTCAAATGGAAAAATTAATTCAAAATTTTCATTATGAATTCCTATCAAAAGCTGAAAGCCAATGTTATATGCATTGCTACTAATGCATATATTCAAAAAAAAGTGCGCGAGCATGTCCAAATCTTATGAATGAGGCACTTGTTAAACTGTATTTCTTTTTCTAAAAGAAAAAAATATTCTTGGAGAGGAGTAGTACAAAAAGGGAGGACACAATGACATTAGTCTCCTACATATGCAAAATAGAACACAGAATCAAAGATCCTTCAATTAAAAAAGCAACTCATCTGTTTGTGAAGAAGATAAGGATCGACACACTGCTACCCCTCGACCCCATTCCCACCCCCACCCAACAAGGTAAAAATAAGAACAATACAAGTTTTGGCTCAAAATGAAGCAAAAAACAGTATTCTGCGGCAAAAAGCTGGGTTGGTTGAAAATGATCCTTGAAAATTCTAGCAGTACGCTCCAACCTGTAACCCAGAAAACAGCCCTCCTGCATAACACTTTATGCTCCTTGATCCTTCTAAAAACATGTGAATTGGTATAAACAGCTATGTCAAGATGTTCGGGAACAAATCCAACATACACCAAGAATACCAAAAGAGTTCCATTGGTAGCTTTATGCCACACCTTAGAAATGAAACAGGAGACAATTAGTCTGAGAACTCGAGTAATACACCAAATAAAGCATTTGGAGACAGAAACTCCATTAGGTATGCCGTTTGCATTCTTATAGGAAATTATTAAGGTTATTTCAGTCAAGGACAACAATCCAGTTGAACATTCTGACTTTAGAGGAGCTTCCTCCTCCAAAGGGTACTAACAGAGTCCATAACTCTTTCTCTTTCTGAGGAACAGTAGAGGACATACCTCCCCTTGGTGTTACAAGTAAAAAATTCTAAACATGATTTGGTATAGACACCTGAAGAAATCTGGCAACAACATATGAAGAAATCAAGGAGATTAAGAAAGAAACCAAATCCAAGCTTTTCGGCCATTAATGTTCCTGAAAATAAGAAAAAAAAGAACATATTTCAAGCAATTTAGCTCTCTAACTAATTCACAGATGAAAATATAGGGGCATTATGACATAGAACAAGCTTATAGATGTGAGGTAAGTGATGAGGGGGGAAGAAAAAGATTCTCCCAACAAATTCTTCCTCCAAAAAGAAAACAGGACCCATCGCTCACCTTTGGGCAAAGTAAAGGATCAAAGGAAGCATATATCTGAGAAATGGATTAACGAGGGCTTCATGGAACTTTAGCTTCGCAAGCATTCTTACGCATCATAAAAACATTTGGAGATAAAGCTCAATTAGGTTGGCATCTGCATGTTTGTAGCTTTTCATTTCTTTTTTTTAGAGCTTCTAGCAAATTATTTAAGTTAATTCAGTTAAGGACAGCAGTCAAAATTACAATCTCACTTATAGGGGGAGCTTTGCCGTCTAAAAGAACTAGTGGAGACCGTATATCATTTTTTTTTTACAAGGAACAGAGAAGGCCATGCCCTGACTAGTGAGCATAAGGATTCCGTGGACATATAAAAAGTGGGCCTAACTCTGGGGATGTGGTAACACATCTAAGAAACTATTCCACCGAACACATTCGGGGTTACAAATAAAAGTATTCCAAACAGAATTCCAAATGTACACTACATTAAAGGAGTCCTCACCTTTGAGAAAGAACTAGTGGAGGCTGTATCTCTTTCTTTTTTCTCAAGGAACAGAATATGCCATATCTCAAATTCATAGGGTTACAAGTAAAAAATTCTCAGCAGAACTTACAACCATAGACATCTAAGGAACCTATGGTTCACATGCGACAATCCAGTCTAGAAACAACATATGAAGAGAACCAAGGAGATTAGGCAAAGAAACCAGATCTAAGGCTACTCTGTCAATTAGGTTCCCAAGAAAAACACAAACCAAGAAATATATAATTAATTAAGTAAAATATGGGGCATTATGATGTAGACAAAGTCTATAGATCAGCGGTAAATGATGAGAAAAATAAAAGATTCTTCCAACTATTTGTTCCTCCAAACAAGGAAACAGGACTCTTTAGAATCATGTTATGCTCCGGTCTAGTGTACAGCCCATTCTAGGGGACGGTTGCAATCTGGGTAACTGATCTAGTTATTGGTCTAGAGACTAGATAATCTAGGAAGGGATTAGATAGTCCAGGAGCTTTTTCCGGTCATACCTATTTTGACAAGAGGCTAAAGGCTAGTAGAGAAACCTAAAACCTCAGAGTTTAGAAAGAAACTCTTAACTTTGGATAGAAAAAATTTCTGCTTGCTTCATTTACTTCCTTAATAGTTTGTATATCAACAGTTACAACCTGAAAATGACTTGTCAAAGTGCGGACCCAACCTTTAAATAAACTGAAAAGGACTAGCACCAAAATTACACACTAAACAGAGAAATTAACTACTAATATAAGCTAAGGACAACCAGAGAACCAAAATAAAACTGAAATAAACAGATTTGATATCGATCTCTTTTGGTCCAATCAACTTCTTCCCATGAGAGTAGGATTTGTATATTTGATCAGTAAATGAGAACATTTCTGACTGTTTCTAACTTATCATTTTGAGAACCATTTTGCTATATGAGACATAACATCACCAATCCCCCTTCCCAAAACAAAAGCACTTGTTTCAAGTGCAAAAGATGGAAAGCAAGCTGCCATTAATAAGATAGGCTCCCAAGAAGCATTGCAGGTGATAGCCCTTCACAATGCTCAAGAACTTCACCTGAATTTATGAGTCCTTCAAAGTGCACTAGGACTTCTACCTGAAATTTATAAGCCCAATGCTGCCAAAGAATAAGGATAAACAGTAGGAGAGTTGGTAGGATGAGCCACAAACTTCTTCAGAAGGAAACATGAAAAACTTGCTGCAACTTACAGTTCGGAGGCAATACAAATAATAAGCAGGATACCTCACATGTCATAGCACCAAAAGATTGAAACAAAATCCTTGCAACAATCCTCATGAGTGACAAGCTCCTTACTTTTATTTCTACACGGACTAAGGTTAAAAAGATTAAAAAATGCTCCCAACCTTCCTCCACTTTAATTGTTCGGTTGTGTTTAACTAATGCCAAGAAAAAAATTGTGGAACCTATCATCCATGAACAAGAACTCATTCTCTTCAATATTCCACATATTTAAAACTTTTTCCATCAGAGGCTTATAAGTGTGAATTTGGTGAAAAGAATACACAGATAAGAAAAGCAGGTCCACAATACTTAGGAATCATTCTAATCTGTCAAAAATCAGTTTGGGAAAAGGTGAAGAGTTTAAACCCAAAATTTTAGTGGAACAAGTCAAACAAGGTTGATTTAATTAAATCTCACTCCCTGCCACGCGCGCATGAGGCTCACCATTGGCTTCCAATCACTAGAATTTGTAGCCCAGCATGGTCTATCGAAGTAGCACCAATTAATCCTCTTTACAACAAGTTATGAGTACTTTGGTGGTGAACCCTAGAGGGGGTAAAAGGTTGTTTAAATTCACATGGGTGTTCTTCAACTATGCCAATATGGTGCAGCTTGATAACTACCAAAATTGGCTGCTTTGAACAAGCCGATCAAAGCGAAGGTTATTATAGTGCTTGAAATCCTCACAAGTTAAAATAGATTGGTCTCTTTCAAGTTTCCGATACCATAATTGGGCAATGCCCTCCAAAACGAACCGAAAGGCCTCTTTTACTCCTTTAGAGTTTGTTGGTGGGGAAAGAAGCGATTACAACTACTAATGCACCCGAAGAATCATCAAATCCATCAAACAAAGGAAAATCGATTTTGGAGAATCTTGGAACGTACCAGTCTGGCATGTTTTCATCAGTCCCAATACTGTTGACATTCTTGTATCCCCGATGCTCACGAGTCACACTACCCTTAGCAAGTTCATGTTCTTCAACTCTCGGCCAAATATATTCTTGGTAAGTTCCTTCAACTGCTCTTGCCATAACTCCTTGCCTCAATCTGAAGTTGGCTTATCCTCCTAATATAACCTGATGTAAACACTAAGGGCTTGGATTATGCAAGAAACTAATCAAGCCTAGGAGGTCACAGTTTGATCTATTTAAATGAGATAAAAGATCCAATTCAAGCCAAACAAAGTCCATATAGAGACAAGTTTACGAAGAGTCCACTTCAAGGTGCACTTGGGATTTATGGACGGAGTATCACTAAATCATGGGCCAATAAATTCAAGGAAAACTTTCAAGTCTATGTTAAAGGATGAATCCATGAAGAAGAGAAGCTTGCGCCAAAGGTGGAAGCCCATAAAAGGAAAAGAAAAGAAAGCCCAATAATCCAAGGACGTAATGGTACTTACATCTCAATCCAAGTAGAAGAGAGAAATAAGCAAGAAAGGGAAATGAATTTTTCCATAAAGAAAATTTTCTCTAAGACGTAAAAAGGGAAAATTCCAATGGGATTTTCTTTCCTAATCTCGCAAGAAATCTTTCCCCTTAATAGGGAGAATCGACCAAGAGAGAAAATTGCTCATAAACTACAACCTATCTTGAAGAGAAAAACTCCTTAAAAGTTAAATCCTACCGAAAAGAAAACACTTGAGAAAGAGGAAAATATATTGCCAGAATCTCATCCCATAAATCTTCCACAATTAATTAAGATCTTCCTTATTCTAAAAGATTTGCTACAACAGGAGATTATATTTAACTTATTTGGGTTGTAATTATCTTAATCTTATTATTTTCTTATTCTACTTTACATTTAATTTCTTATGTAATTTTTACTATTAATTAGGAGATTCTTTTTCTTATAATTCACATGGTTTACAATTATAAGTAGATTTTTAATTCGTGGTTGTAATCATTCAAGTTTCAATCAATAAAATTACAAAATTTATTTTCAACTACTAAGATAACTTCAATTTTCTCGTTGAACAAAGAATTGGATCAACTTATCAAGGTATTTTTATGGTATTTTTCTAATTCTTTTATTTTTTCCTTTACCTTAATTCCTGTCTTTTAATTGAAAGTGGGTTGAGTAAGGAGGTTTTATTAGAATTTAAGTCTTTGATGCTTTATGAGTATTGTGTGAGTTCTTGATTACACTATTGATCTTGGGTTACGCATCATAACTAAGGGAAAGCCTCAAAAAGTTGCTGAAAAGTGTGGAAATCACCCATAATATCTACCTATGGTACCAATTTGTTAAGGCACCACAAAGATTATCGAGTCACGGGTCTAGATATTGGATAATCTAGGAGGTGGTTAGATAGTTTGGAGGCTTTTCTTCCTACCTATTTTGATGGTAGGTTACGGGCCCATGACGGAGAAACCCCAAGATATTAAAGTCCCAAAAGGAACTATTACTTTTGATTGATAAATTTGTGTATTTATTTCACTACTGGAAATAACTATATAAACTGAAAAGAATTAGTCCCAAACTAATAGGAAAAAAAGAAAATAGCTACTAGTCTAAAACAAGGAACTATATATACTTCTTCCAACAAAATTTGTAGAATTGACCAATACATTTTACCACGTTGACTGTTTCCAACTCATAACATTTTGCTGTTGAGACTCATAACATGCACTAATCACACTATTAAGACTTTTTTTATGAATAAAGAAATTAGAGACAGCTAGAGGAGAAAAGAAGCAAAGAATTAGAATCCCATTGCAGGTAAGTAGGAAACATCCTTTAAAACCATGAGCCTTAGTGACAGGGCAACAAAGAAGGCCAATCTATGCCACAGAAAAGATGGTTGGTCAATTCGGTCCTTGAAAATCCTCACATGCTACTCCAACAACAACATAGTTGGCCAATTCAATCCTTGAAAATCTTAGCATGCTACTCCAGAACAACATCCATAGACTAGCAAAAATAGCCCCTCCCCATAAGAAGCTTCCTTCTTCTTCCCGCCTTCCTTAAAGAGGAGTAGAAAAGAAATACTCAATGGAAGGGGGAGCACCCAAGAATAACCAAAAGTATACAAAAGGATAGAGAAAAGCCAAGCCACGTCAAAATGCAAAAGAGACGAGCATTAGGATTTTTGCCACCTTAAAGCACATCACTTACATCTGGAGAAAGGGCATGGATAGGTTGCATATTTGCAATAGAGAATTAGTGTTGGGCCTATTCAAAACAACCGTCCACATGAAAGCCTTAATCTTAGAAGGAACTTTTTCCTTCAGAAAAACATTTTTTTAAAATAAAAATGTAAGGTATATACATATATAAACCAGGTACCAAAGGAGGAGGTACCACCCACTTACAAAAAAATTTACAAACATGTTAGTATATCAATGACATTTCCAAAATTCACATAACTAATAATGTCATGATTTAATAGTATTACCCAAAATAACGTATCCACCTATCTTTTAATCTATTCATACTACTCTCAGCACTGTCAAAAACTCTGCCATTTCTCACCTTCCATATGACCCAAAAAACAGTTAATGGAATCAAGTTAGAAATTTTATTTTTTACAAATAAACCATCCATGCCCAAATTTCCTCTCTAACAGATCCAACAATTACCCACTCAATCCCCAACCATAAATCCTACACCAGATCCTGCGAGCAGTCGGACACCACAAAAGGAGATGACCAGCTTGAAGACAACATATGCAGCCATTTACCAGGATCATTCCTCTAATTTTCAGTTTATCAAGTGTCAAAATTCGCTCCCAGCAAGTTTCCCAAGCAAAGAAAGCAATACCCGGGGGGGTGGGAGCTTCTGTTTTCCAGATTTGTTTCGCCGGGAAATTAACCCTAACCTCGCCATTCTTTCCGCACAGAAATTAGTTGTATGACTGGACAGAGAAAAAAAAACCATTATTCCCAAATTTCTGCACAGAAATGGCCTTCGGAAAAACGTTAGAGGGAGTTTCATTGAGCGTGGAGGGAGTAAGTGTAAGATGAGAAGAAAGAGGGTTGCAAGAGAATAGATTAGAAGACTCCAAAGACAAAACTCTACGATCCAGATTTGAAGAGACTCAAACGGGATAGAAACTTTAACAATCGTACATTGGAAGAGATGATTTCATTGTCCATTACACTATTAATATCAACGCCTGCTAACTAATAGAGTTCTTATATTTGAGAAAGACTGGCACATGGGAAAACATTCCACGGGCGCAGTCTCCAAATCTGACTGA